TGAAAAATTCTCACTTCACATTACCCTATTTTGTACTCAACTGCCTATCAGATGTAATTACTCAATTGAATTTAACCAATGACTACACCCTGTAATACAATAACTTGTGGAGCTTGTGGACTTTCAGCATGTCACATCGCGACACTCTCACTCTTTTTTTAATATGTAGCTCCTTGTTGTTTTCCTTTCTATTTTAAAAATTAAGGATTTTGCTTTAATTTATTTTGAAAAACTTTAGCTATTTCTGATACCAACAGAACAATTCCACGTGGAGGAAACAAATCTATTACCTATTGTTGGAAGAAAAATAACTATAAAGCTATGCAGGTTACTTTAAGTTAGTTTTCCTATGGAAATTCTAAAACCATGATAGCGAAAGAATGTTTATGTCATTAGTCTACCTGTATTTATGGAAATAAATCTAATTACAATTAAATATCTAATTGAATGAAATCAGTGAAATAAAGTCCCAATAGCTTTGACAATAGTAAAAGTAAAAAACAAAGAAAAGCTGGTTTAAGTAAGTCACCAGCAATTGGGGTGAAAGCAAACCAACCTATTCATGCACTGTTAAATGCTGTTTTCCTCGACGACCTCTCTTACCTAGATTTGAAATAAATGACAAAGGCAACTCTAGACTAGCCATTTGTGTGCATGCATGCATTGAATTCTGCACGTAATCTGCACCACAAATTATTTTGCTACCACAATAAAACAGGAAGTGAGGGAAACAGACACAGAACTAAACATGGGGGAATCAACACAGAAGGGAAAGGCTGGAAAACACTAAGGGACTCCATAAAGATTAAAACAAATTGAAGATATTTAATAAGAAACAGGATTTGAAATTCAACACACAACTATGTATCAAAGCACTGCTAACAGCCTTACTGGACAATATTGTTTACTTCCCAAGTGGCCCAGCTCCAAAGTATGCTGAGGTGCTTCCTTTCATCTGCTGTAGACTAAACTGTGAATTGTGAACAGATTCTTTCCTGAGATTGGGATATCTCTGGGTACAAATATTATTAGAACCACATGCTTGGGTCAGTGAATCTTTGAAGTGTGCAGGGCTGCTTGAACCTCTTTAGAGGAAACATTTGCTTTTGCGCAAGTGTTTTTAAAGCATTGGTCTGATCCCCAAGAATAAAGTTAAATTTCACTGGCCAGGCATTTCAGTGATAACATGTTGTAGAAAATGCCTTACTACTTACAGCCTCTGTAAGCCGGTGTAGAGCTCCATATCAAAATCCCTCAAGGTCTGCAGACCAGTCCAATTCTCGATGTGTCTGTAAAGGAATACAGGCAAGACACTGTAGTAGGGTGTATAATGTAACAAGTTACACATTTCTTATATGTAATAATCTAACAATTTATTTCATGGATCAGATTTGTTGGGCTGTTTATTCTAGGGTGACCAACCGTCCTCTTTTCCTATATTCTGACAGAGGACCAAT